TCATTTTATGTTGAATGTATTAGCAATGTATCACTCGAAATGACTAAGTATTTTCAAATTGCGTGCACTAGCCTTGTAAATCTATATAAGAACAAGCAGCGCTGTACGACCTTTTCGGGTTTAGCGCTTAATTTGATTGTAATTATATAAGAATGAAGGAATACTTCAGTAGGACTATTGGCCTAACTCTCATCCATTCATATTCTCGTCAAATCTATTATATTCACGAGTACTTCCCTATACCTTTTGTAAATTTATATTTGTCCAACCTGATTACACTGCAGCGACTCCTGTCTTGGATTAATACTTTTAACACTTTACTTATATTCCCTTTATTTATCCGGTTTTCCATTTGTACCTAGAATTTAGGGAACGTGATCGAATCACATTCCCCAGAATCTAGGTCTTTGCAGAGTGCAAATGCAATGCCTTCAGCCTATCTTCGTATATTTTACAGCGTATTAGGTCCATTCTGTAACATGAGTGATGAACCATGTGAATAATCAATCTGCAACAAGGGTGAATAATCAAGGAACTTGAACAACATCTTGTCTCTGCATTTGATATTCTGTGGTGTTTTCGATCGGGTGTTGACAATATTCAGAGCCCATAGGGCGAGAGGAAACTATCATAGCGACTGGTTAAGCCAATTATAATTATGCACGTATAATATTTAATAACATGCAAATAGTAACAAGAAATGCAAAATGTACTCACAGTTCAAACTGACTAAAATATGAATATTTCTAGAATTATATAAAAACAGAACGCTAAACCAGTAAAACAATAGTCGTAGTAGGATCTTGCGCATCCCGTCCACCAACAACAATGTGCCTGGGGAAAACCAAAAGTTATCTTCATTTTACACAATAAGTTTTCTTATGCTATTCTCTGCATTAGAAAAATTATTTTTATTTATTTCTAGTTAGCTAAGGATCGTGAAAACCTACCACAAACAATTACGCAGACGCAAATTAGACACATGGCAGCACGGTGTCTGAGTAAGCCTAGGCAAGCATTTAACCATGTGTGATTTACTGATGTTGATTACAAAGATGAAATGAAGTCCCCGACATATTCTACAGAGATGGAGGCTGGGTTAGGCTTGGTTAAAACCTAGCCTAACATCAAAAAATACCTTTACAGCCATTTGCACAAAATAAAACCATCTCCATTCTTGAACATATTGTACACTTTATACTACTTGTGATTATCACCAACTCCAGTAAGCAGGTAAACTCATTTTGGGCCCAGAATGGATATAAATGTGTTGGGGAGCACACAGAGAAGGATCAGGTTAATCCACTGTACAAGTAATCTTTCCTTTAAAGACAGAATGATGGAAAGACAAGTATAAATAATGGAGATACAAATAGGGTGCTGACGATATCTAATATGAAAAGAACAAGAAATAATGGTTTAGAAAGGCTAAATGAAAAAACTGGTTTAGTAACAAGAGTTGTAGACGAATGCAGCAATCTGACAAGCAGAATATTATAATATTGAGGGGAAAGTGCTAAACCCATAGCGGTCATACAGTACATGAAGATTGGGAAGTAATCGGGTTCGACCCAAGGGAAGAACATATCCAACTCCTCGAATCAAGGACCTCCAAAAGTATCTACTGCTTTATATAAACATTATATGCTAGATATAAACACTGAATACAAATTCGTCTAAGATATCACAATACAGTATAAAATATTACAGTAGAGAGTAATACATTCACGTGAAGCGTAAACTCCAACAGAGGTCATACATTACCTGGGGACTGGCAAACAATCAAGTTCAATAAAAAAAATGAGGGTACCTCCTGTTCCTTGGATCAAGAGCTCGTCGCTAGCATCAAGGCACCCACTGTGAAGGGTAAGGTAAATGGAGACAGGAACAGATCCTGTCTTTACTCAGGGGAAGCGCTAAACCCGTATGAGTCATGTAGTGCCTAGGGGATGGGAGGCATTAAGGTTCAATCCAAGGAACATAAGAACGAAGGAACACTGCAGCAGGCCTACTGGCCCATGCGAGGCAGGTCCAAGTCTCCTACCAGCTTAAGCCAATGCACCCAAACTAGTCAGTTCAGGTCACCTTGACTTAAGGGAGGAACACGGCAACCGACCTGGTAGCACAAGCTATCAGGTCCAACTCACACCCACCCACATCCACTCATGTATTTATCCAACCTATTTTTAAAGCTACACAACTTTCTGGCCTCTATAACTGTACTTGGGAGTTTGTTCCACTCATCCTCAACTCTATTACCAAACCAGTACTTTCCTATATCCTTCCTGAATCTGAATTTTTCCAACTTAAAACCACTGCTGCGAGTCCTGTCTAGGCTAGATATTTTCAGCACACTATTTACATCCCCTTTATTTATTCCTGTCTTCCATTTATACACCTCAATCATATCCCCCCTAATTCTACGTCTTTCTAGAGAGTGCAGATTCAGGGCCCTTAGTCTATCCTCATAGGGAAGGTTTCTGATACATGGGATCAACTTGGTCATCCTCCTTTGTACATTTTCCAGAGCATTTATATCCATTCTGTAATACGGTGACCAAAACTGTGCAGCATAATCTAAATGAGGCCTAACCAAGGATGTATAGAGTTGAAGAACAACCTGAGGACTCCTATTATTTATGCTTCTTGATATGAAGCCAAGGATTCTATTAGCTTTATTGCGAACACTTATGGACTGTTGTCTTGGTTTCAGATTACTGCTAACCAGAACTCCTAAATCTTTTTCGCAATCCGTAATATTAAGATCTACATTATTTAGTTTATATGTGGCATGGTTATTGTCCTGTCCAACATTTAGAACTTTGCATTTGTCTATATTAAACTGCATCTGCCACCTCTCCGACCACTGCATCAGTCTATTCAAATCTTCCTGGAGTGCCCTAATGTCCTCGTCAGAATGAATTCGACGGCCTATTTTGGTGTCATCGGCAAACTTGCTGATGTCGCTCTTTATGCCCTCATCTATGTCGTTTATGTATATTGTGAACAGCAGGGGCCCAACACTGACCCCTGTGGAACACCGCTCGTGACGCTTCCCCACTCTGATTTCTCCCCATTTATGCAAACTCTCTGCTGCCTATTTGTCAACCATGCCTCTATCCAGGAAAAAATTTCTCCTCCTATTCCATGTGCCTTAATTTTCCTCAATAGTCTCTGATGTGGGACCTTGTCAAAAGCCTTACTGAAGTCCATATACACAATATCATATTCATTGCCATGATCAACCTCCTCAAATACCTTAGTGAAAAAAGTTAATAAATTCGTAAGGCAGGAACGCCCCTTTGTAAAACCATGCTGAGATTCGTTGATTAATTTATGCTTTTCAAGGTGGCTACGAACTGCCTCGGCAATTATTGATTCCATAAATTTTCCCACTATGGAGGTTAGGCTTATTGGTCTATAGTTCGAAGCTAAGGACCTGTCACCTGCTTTGAAAATAGGTATCACATTTGCCATTTTCCACTTATCTGGCACCATGCCTGTTTGTAGTGATATGTTGAAAAGATTAGCCAAAGGTTTGCTAAGCTCCTCTTTACATTCCTTTAGAACCCTTGCATACAGTTCATCAGGCCTGGGGATTTGTTAGGTTTTAATTTATCTATTTGCCTAAGGACCATGTCACTTGTGACTCTAATCGTGCACAGTTTATTATCGTCCTGTTCCACATAATTTATCATTTCTGGAATATCGCTGGTATCCTCCTGTGTAAAAACTGAGAGGAAGTATGTGTTAAAACTTCTACACATTTCCTTATCACTGTCAGTGAGCTGACCCGAGGAACTTTTGAGTGGGCCTATCTTGTCCCTGATCTTACTTCTGTATACCTGAAAGAATCCTTTTGGGTTAGTCTTCGAATCTCTTGCAACTTTAACCTCACAATCTCTTTTTGCTTTTTCTAATTCCTTTTTTTATTTTCTCTCTTTAACTGAATATATCGATTTCTTAATTGCCCCTCCCCTCTTTTGATTTGCCTATATATGCCTCTCTTTTGACCAATTAGATATTTTAATCTATTGTTCATCCATTTAGGATCATTTTTGTTTGATCTAATTTCCCTATTTGGAATATAATTTGACTGAGCAGCTAGAACTATGCCCTGGAAAGCGTCATATCGGCAACCATCACCACCTACCTGACCCTTAGTCAGGTCATTCCAGTTCAGCCCACCTAAGTAATTTTTCAGTCCTATGAAATCAGCCAAGCGGAAGTCAGGGACAGAGACTTGATTGCCATTATTAGGGGAATTCCATGATATATTAAAACTGAGTGATTTGTGATCACTTTCCCTAAGCTCATCATTAACCTCAAGATTATTAATTAGTGTTTCCCTACTGGCAAGAACCAATTCAAGGAGGTTATTTCCCCTAGTTGGCTCTGTCACAAACTGTTTTAAAAAACAATCCTGGATCGTATCAAGAAAGTCACCTGACTCTAAATTTCCTGTCAAATTGCTCCAGTCAATCTAGTTTCTTGGATCAAAAGCCCCTCATCTGCATCAAGGCTCCGCCTTTGAATGGATTAGATCCTAAATACACTCAAATGACCTCAGTGCTGTCAAGGACACTATTATTACGTATTATTATCACTATTCTGGGAAACGCTAAACAAGCAAGGGTCGTACAACGATGAATTATTGTTCATGGAGAGCTCTAAACTCGTAGTGGTTATACAGCGCCTGCGGGAAATGAACACACTGGCTCGATTCAAGGAATTGGAGCAGATTCAATTTCTTCTATGAAGAGCCCTTCACCAGCATCACGATGAAGGAACTGGAGATAAACAGGAGTAATGAAAGGGAAAGGTAGCTCCAATTTCTCGTATCAAGAGCCCTTCACCAGCATCTAAGCAATGCCCAGTTTTTAAGATACTGATAGTAAGACTGACGGGGTCATCATGAAACACCCGCGTCAGCTTTCCCTGATAAATAAACAAGGCTTTCTAACATTATTCTTTTTAGAAAAGATTGTAGTATAACTTACCTTGGGTACCAGCATGCGTGTAGATGTTGTGAAGGCTGACGATACTACAAGAGTAGGCTAGATGAAGGTTACACTGAGGGCACCCACCATGTTCCAGCTGGTGTGCGTTATCCCTGTTATCTCTAAATGTTGTCTGTCTCCACCACAACACACTATCGTCTTACTCTTCTTATTTACTTAAATTTTTCATACCTACAATATGAAAATTATGTGGCCTTAGGCATTCACATGTCACTTTGCACAGGTTATATATAACGTATGACTTTCTTTGATGCGCAAATTTGGTTTGTTTATTAAAGGGTATAGTGTAAGTGATGGGTATGTGTAGGAGGTACGTATACCCTCACTTGCATCTCCTGCCACCAACTCGACACAATATCTCCTCTACTGCACCAACAGTCTCATCAATGGTGAGATTCGGCAACTCTCAGTCGTCCTCTGTAACAGTTGCCACAGTCTGCTGCACCAAAGTCGATACTAATGTATTTCTCGCACAGCAGTCACTAACATTTAAGTTTTAAATAATTAATCTATAAAGATCTTGCGTATCACATTCTATTTCGAAGCTGTTTTCAGAAGCAGTGACCTCATTGTTTACTACGTGTGGCCAATCAACGACCACACCTCAGCGTTGACGAATCAGCATCCACAATGTGACTGACGTCATTGAAGACCGGTACGTCATCACTTGCGTCATCCTGCAGGGAACAATAAAGGGTCTAAGAAAGCTTCGACTTGTCCTCGTATGTTTGCAAATGTAAATAGAATTTAACCTGAGCAATCTAAGCATAGAATTCTAAAAATATATTTACAGAAGATTCATTAAAGCGGTCTTTTCAATATAAAATATTCATTACTATTTGTTCATGCTTTACAATTTTTGAAAATAATTACACCAAAATTTTTACATATTACCGCACGAAAAAGTGCGTGTAAGAATATTTTTGTGGCAAATAGAATACAAACATGATACATTATTGATAAGATTGCAATTTGGTAGGTAAATGGACACGCATGCAACTAGTGATGTATTTATTGTGGCTATTATTCACTCGCCAGAGTTTTTGTCAAGCCAACACAAACAGTACAATGTATGGACACACAAAATGCATGAATCCATGTACTGCATTTTCTCGTATTGAACTAACAAAGCCCCCAGTGAGCGAAACAGAGGTAGTAAATATCTTATCAGTCACACGTGTTCAGTTACATAACATATTGTATGGTGCAGTGAGACAGAGCATCATAATGGACATTTACATCATACGTTACTGGGACACACTTCTCTACGTTCACATCCGTCGCGGTAGTTTCCTACTAGACTGCCTAGCAGCAAAAGTCATCACTTTATCTACTCCAACACCTGCTCCACCATCACTTGAAATTATTATAAACTACTGCTACAACTACCATCACCACCACTACAACTTCCTTCAAGAATTCCCGCAGTCCTGACGCCTTACCTTATTTCCTTTATCTATGGTCATTACCTTTGTACCTTGTTCGGCTATCAAAACTTTGATGCCCACCACAGGATGGGTATGGGGTACATAATAGACATATTAAATTAAAAACTATGCACGGCATTGTTTGTGTTGTCTTCAGTAAGAAAACGTAGCCACAGAAAAGTGTCTTGTTAAGCGCACATGCGTCCATTTACTTAAAACGCAAACTAACAACATTTTTTCTGAAAGTTTAAGGTAACTCCGTAAATTAACACAATCAACAAAACAAATGGAAGTCGCGTTACAAATTTAGATTTCATGCATATTTAAAGAACTTACCCACATCGTAAAAATAAAAGCAAAGAGCTGTTAGCAATCTACACAAGCTAAACCCAGGATCCCTGAGCGTACCAAATATATAAAAAAAAAAACGAGGAAGAGAAAAGGAAGAGAGGAAAAGGAGAGGAATCCTGAGCAGTCATCACGTTGCGTTTGGTATGATGGTCGCGTTTTTTTTTTTTATTCTCATAAAAATTATATACTCCACTATTGTCAGTACTACATTAGTTGGGTACAATAACGACATCGTAAAGCTACCCTGAGCTATGGGCCAGAAGCTAAGACTCAACATCCGAAAGCATAACTGGGTGGTTATTAGAGGCCACTGTGTGCGCCAGAAAACAGCCCAAAGCAGGGGAGGCCACATACAAATACACAAGGAAAGTAATGTTACAACTTGAGGATGTTTATTCTTAATCTCTATCCAGAATTCGTCCAGCGGTACTCACTTACGCTATAATTTCAGACTGAGATCATTACGTATTTCAATTAATTCCTCTCCTGTGAGACTAAGCTACGACGGGCTTAGTACTGATGCAATAAATGTTTTTGAAACATAGTCTTCTCTACGTAAATTTGGGAAATGATACTGATTCTTTTTTTTTCTGACAGTACTTCAGTTATTATTATAATCAGAACTAAGCGCTAAACCCACAAGGGTCATAAAACGCTGGCAAGTACTTCAAGATGATCAGAAACCAATGGCATAATCTTTTTAGTCTGTGTTGCAGCAACATGTTGGAGCATATCCATGTTCCCTTGCTTCACTGTGATAACCCAAACTCTTAAATTATCTCTCAGAGCATTAATTTTGTTATATATATATATATATATATATATATATATATATATATATATATATATATATATATATATATATATATATATATATATGGTTATAGGAGGGTGGGGGCAGGAGGAAAGAGGAGTGATTGGTGGAATGATGAAGTAAAGGGTGTGATAAAAGAGAAAAAGGTAGCTTACGAGAGGTTTTTACAAAGCAGAAGTGTTATAAGAAGAGCAGAGTATATGGAGAGTAAAAGAAAGGTGAAGAGAGTGGTGAGAGAGTGCAAAAGGAGAGCAGATGAAAGAGTGGGAGAGGCACTGTCAAGAAATTTTAATGAAAATAAGAAAAAATTTTGGAGTGAGTTAAACAAGTTAAGAAAGCTTAGGGAAAGTATGGCTTTGTCAGTTAAAAACAGAGTAGGGGAGTTAGTAGATGGGGAGAGGGAGGTATTAGGTAGATGGCGAGAATATTTTGAGGAACTTTTAAATGTTGAGGAAGAAAGGGACGCGGTAATTTCATGCACTGGCCAGGGAGGTATAACCATCTTTTAGGAGTTTTAGAAGAGCAGAATGTAAGTGTGGTGGAGGTACGTGAGGCATTACGTAGAATGAAAGGGGGTAAAGCAGCTGGAACTGATGGGATCATGACAGAAATGTTAAAAGCAGGGGGGGATATAGTGTTGGAGTGGTTGGTACTTTTGTTTAATAAATGTATGAAAGAGGGGGAAAGGGACCTAGGGATTGGCGGAGAGCGTGTATAGTCCCTTTATATAAAGGGAAAGGGGACAAAAGAGATTGTAAAAATTATAGAGGAATAAGTTTACTGAGTATACCAGGAAAAGTGTATGGTAGGGTTATAATTGAAAGAATTAGAGATAAGACAGAATGTAGAATTGCGGATGAGCAAGGAGGCTTCAGAGTGGGTAGGGGATGTGTAGATCAAGTGTTTACATTGAAGCATATATGTGAACAGTATTTAGATAAAGGTAAGGAAGTTTTTATTGCATTTATGGATTTAGAAAAGGCATATGATAGAGTGAATGGAGACAAATGGTTTTTAATACTTGACGTGCTGTTGGAGTGTGAGCAAAGTAACATTTATGAAGGGGTTCAGGGAAACCGGCAGGCCGGACCTGAGTCCTGGAGATGGGAAGTACAGTGCCTGCACTCTGAAGGAGGGGTGTTAATGTTGCAGTTTAAAAACTGTAGTGTAAAGCACCCTTCTGGCAAGACAGTGATGGAGTGAATGATGGTGAAAGTTTTTCTTTTACGGGCCACCCTGCCTTAGTGGGAATCGGCCAGTGTGATAATAAAAAAAAATAATAATATATGATAGAGTGGATAGAGGAGCAATGTGGCAGATGTTGCAAGTATATGGAATAGGTGGTAAGTTACTAAATGCTGTAAAGAGCTTTTATGAGGATAGTGAGGCTCAGGTTAGGGTGTGTAGAAGAGAGGGAGAATACTTCCCGGTAAAAGTAGGTCTTAGACAGGGATGTGTAATGTCACCACGGTTGTTTAATATATTTATAGATGGGGTTGTAAAAGAAGTAAATGCTAGGGTGTTCGGGAGAGGGGTGGGATTAAATTATGGGGAATCAAATTCAAAATGGGAATTGACACAGTTACTTTTTGCTGATGATACTGTACTTATGGGAGATTCTAAAGAAAAATTGCAAAGGTTAGTGGATGAGTTTGAGAATGTGTGTAAAGGTAGAAAGTTGAAAGTGAACATAGAAAAGAGTAAGGTGATGAGGGTATCAAATGATTTAGATAAAGAAAAATTGGATATCAAATTGGAGAGGAGGAGTATGAAAGAAGTGAATGTTTTCAGATACTTGGGAGTTGACGTGTCGGCGGATGGATTTATGAAGGATGAGGTTAATCATAGAATTGATGAGGGAAAAAAGGTGAGTGGTGCGTTGAGGTATATGTGGAGTCAAAAAACGTTATCTATGGAGGCAAAGAAGGGAATGTATGAAAGTATAGTAGTACCAACACTCTTATATGGATGTGAAGCTTGGGTGGTAAATGCAGCAGCGAGGAGACGGTTGGAGGCAGTGGAGATGTCCTGTCTAAGGGCAATGTGTGGTGTAAATATTATGCAGAAAATTCGGAGTGTGGAAATTAGGAGAACGTGTGGAGTTAATAAAAGCATTAGTCAGAGGGCAGAAGAGGGGTTGTTATTGTGGTTTACCTGGAGTTTACCTGGAGAGAGTTCCGGGGGTCAACGCCCCCGCGGCCCGGTCTGAGACCAGGCCTCCTGGTGGATCAGAGCCTGATCAACCAGGCTGTTGCTGCTGGTTTGGTCATTTAGAGAGAATGGATCAAAGTAGAATGGCATGGAAAGCATATAAATCTATAGGGGAAGGAAGGAGGAGTAGGGGTCGTCCTCGAAAGGGTTGGAAAGAGGGGGTAAAGGAGGTTTTGTGGGCGAGGGGCTTGGACTTCCAGCAAGCGTGCATGAGCGTGTTAGATAGGAGTGAATGGAGACGAATGATACTTGGGACCTGACGATCTGTTGGAGTGTGAGCAGGGTAATATTTAGTGAAGGGATTCAGGGAAACCGGTTATTTTCATATAGTCGGACTTGAGTCCTGGAAATGGGAAGTACAATGCCTGCACTTTAAAGGAGGGGTTTGGGATATTGGTAGTTTGGAGGGATATGTTGTGTATTTTTATACGTATATGCTTCTAAACTGCTGTATTATGAGCACCTCTGCAAAAGCAGTGATAATGTGTGAGTGTGGTGAAAGTGTTGAATGATGAAAGTATTTTCTTTTTGGGGATTTTCTTTCTTTTTTGGGTCACCCTGCCTCGGTGGGAGACGGCCGACTTGTTGAATATAAATATATATTTTATATATATATATATATATATATATATATATATATATATATATATATATATATTATTTTATATATATATCTACAGAAGACGACGAAGAGTCACTGAGGTCCTCACGAGTGCTAGAATATCTGATACACGAAAGGAGGCGCTGACCAGGGAAGTGGAAACTATCGAACTTAAGTTAAATGACTCTTACAGGAACCAGGAGAGACAGGAGGAGCTTAAAGCTATTAGTGAAGTTGAAAGAAATTCAAAATATTTCTTTCATATGCCAAAAA